GGCTTTTTACTATTTTTAACACCCGTTCTAAAATTACAATTTAACCAAAAATATCTTCAAAAGTCGAAAAATGGCACTTCTAAACTGAGTATCAAAAATTCCTTTGGTAAAGTTTTTCCTTAAGCTTTAACGATTCATTTGATGGTTTCACCAAAGCTCTAGCAATCTTCTAAACAAAGAAACTAAGCCAAAAGTCGAATCGAATTTAAGTGCTCTTTACAGTAATTGCTGCCAGAATACTCAAAAGCCGTTTTTTTGGCGAAAATCTATTTGGCCCGGTTTTTGATAGTGTAGTAAAAATATACCATTCAAATTGTTTTTTGCGGTGTTTATTTTTACAGTATTTTGCCACGAGCTGTTAGGAAACATAAGAGCGGGAGATCGCAGTAGATAGAGAGAGAGGAAAGAGTGTATCAAGTGCGCTAAAGAAGAAGTTAACGGGAAACTTTCAATTTGGTCAGAGTCAAATCAAGAAAATTTCTTTATAGGGTCCCAGATGTCTCCTACACTGCGTTGCACACTTTTGACCAAAATTATAATACCTTCTGCAAGGGTATAAAAAAGTTTGACCACTAAAAACGAGCACAATGTGCTAGATTCCCATTTTTAAAGTCGAGTGTTAATGGTGAGAAACAAAAGTTACTTAATCAAAGAGTTTGACATCGCAACAGGCGTACCACAAGGACCCAGTGTTATCATCGTATATACGGCAGAAATGCCGACAGTCCAGCGAAAAATTGTCCACAATTATTACTTAAGAACATGAACTACAAATGAAGTAGCACATCTGGCAGTACACCTAGATAGGCATACTTGGATGAAGCACATACAAGCGAATAGCGAACCAATAAAACACAAGTCCCGACAACTGCATAGCCTAATGAATAGCCGAAAAAAATGGTCCTACGCAAGCCGAAGTTTATATACCCTTGCAGTTATTGCAAATCGACTACATTTCAATTTCTATGCCTATATAATATCAAAGACATATTTTGATAAATAGAAAAACACCAAAATACAATTTTTTCCATTTTTATTCTTTTTAATTTTTTTGATTTTCCTATTGGAGCCATATGATATAGATGTCCAATTTAAATTTAATTAAAGCCGTAATTCCATAATATTTAAATACTACCAAATCTGAAATAACAACACAAAAAAATTAAAAAACAACAAAGCTATAATTTTTAAAAAAAAATTTTCCGATTGTTCCTATGATATACACGCCCGATCCGGCTCGTTCCGACTTATATACTACCTGTAATAGAAAGACAACTTTTGGGAAAGTTTCAAGCAGATAACTTTAAAACTGAGGGACTACTTTGCGTAGAAACGGACGGACGGACAGACGGACATGGCTAAATCGACTCTCCTGGTGATGCTGATCAAGAATATATTTACTTTATAGGATCGGAAATGTCTCCTTCACTGCGTTAAAAACTTTCACTGAAATTATATTGCCCTCTGCAGAGGTATATACAATTTATAAAAAACCGGTAAATTTTTTAGAAAGCTACCTAAATATGTCTGTTTTTACATATGTGTATTTATATATACGCCTTTTTGCAAGAAACACTTTTTATTCCCTTGCAGAGGGTATTATAATTTTGGTCAAAAGTGTGCAACGCAGTGAAGGAGACATCTCCGACCCTATAAAGTATATATATTCTTGATCAGGATCACCTCCTGAGTTGATATAAGGATGTCCGTCTGTCTGTCTCTACGCAAACTAGACTCTCAGTTTTAAAGATATCAAATTGAAACTTTGCACACACCCTTCTTCCATAACTTTTGTGTTTGTAAAGTTAGGAAGTGCGATTATCTATGGGTTTTATTTTTGGCCAATCAATTCGACTTACCAAATTTCATAAGGATCGGCGGACTATATCCTATAGCAGGCATATAACTGATTGATCGAAAATGCCATAACGTTGGTGTTTGTAAAGTTAGGAAGCTGGTATTTTCTATAGGTTTTATATTTGGCCAATCAATCCGACCTACCAAATGCCATAAGGATCGGCCGACTATATCCCATAGCTGCCATATAACTGAACGATTGGAAATGCCATAACTTGGGTGTTTTTAAAGTTAGGAAGTTGGGATTTTTTATGAGTATTAAGAATGCATCATATGAATAATTTTGGAGAATATAATGTACATAATATTCTGCAAGGGTATATCAACTTCGGCTCCGCCCGAAGTTGGCTTGCCTTTCTTGTTTAATTTAAAAACAAATCTTTAAACTCTGGTGATTAAATAAAAATTTTACTATTTGAATTAAATTCATAGTCGGAGAACTCAAGTATAGCCATAATTATAGATTTTATTCTAATTTCATTCAACTTATTATTAAAATATCTTTTATAATTTTTCAGTTTGATCATAAATTGGCTTATTTTATTGGACAAAGTATTCAAGGAGATGTGGCAGAATCGCTTTTGGAAAAACTTTTCTACCATAATTATAGATTTTATTCTAATTTCATTCAACTTATTATTAAAATATCTTTTATAATTTTTCAGTTTGATCATAAATTGGCTTATTTTATTGGACAAAGTATTCAACGAGATGTGGCAGAATCGCTTTTGGAAAAACTTTTCTACCTTTAAACTTTTAAAAGATTTTTGTTAATGATATCAACATGGAGCTACATTAAAATTTATATAGCATATTTTTATGTCGCTTTACTATATTTTGTAGATGGGAATGTTGGAGGTAACAAAAATGACAGAAGTTAAAAAATAACAATTGTTGGCCGCTTTCTCGGCCATGTAAAATTATCGCCCTTCGGAATGTTTAAATGATTTGTCGGAGTGAAAATCCCATTGTCCAAATCTGTGACTGAATGAATTTTTAGAATTCATCTTTGATGATTATTTGCTCGTTTGTGGTACAGTGAATAGCCAAGCTTCGGGGTTCAGAAATATCTCACAATAACCAGAAAAAAATTGTAGAGCGCAAGTAGCGAATCTGGTGTTGCCAGATTGCATGCTTAGCATATATTAGATATAATATAAACAACATTATTTAACAATGTTGTAAAAACCATGAGTCGTTGTCCTTTTTGTTACCTGAATCTGAGATTAGTCAAATATGTACATTCAAAAATCTATGTTGCTACTGCTCGCCTTCCTGCACAGCTGGGAACCATTTTGTAGTACATGCATAGAGGTAATCGAGCGTTTGTGTTCTGGAAAGAACGAATCTACACACGTTAGAATTCGGCTCTAGCTCGTCGGCTTTGGGGGTGGAGGTCTTGCTTGTGTAGATGCACACACTTGCAAAAAATAATTATTGATAAGACTGGAATTGAGCGTGCTGCGACAAAAGAAAAGCTAATTACAAAACCGGAAGAATTATATAAATAAATGCATAAAGATAGGCAAAACGAAAAGAATTCGAGAATTTAATAAAAGAATTTCGCAGAAAACTGGTGGTATTGTGTTTGTGGTACGCCCACCCTACCTACGATCACCTGCCGCAAAAGCATGGCTCTGGTGATCCCTTGTGTACCCTAGGACCGTAGAAACATCAGCTGAGTTCAGTTAATTAAAGTTTTCATTTTTATAATATTTTGAAAGGTATATAACATTCTTAAATTTCCTTAGTAAAACTAAAAAAAAAATAGGGCAGAATATTCGGCAGGAAGATATACATTACAAAAAGAAATACATTAAAAATTAAATTAAATAAGTAAACATGTGAGTACAGAATGATTGTAAATAATTATATACTAAAATGAGGATATAAAATAATACTGTATAATAACTTCAATGATTTCTTTCTTAAATTACTAAGCAGTAAATATAAAAATTATTTTTTCTTTAAATTTTAATTGCATGTGGCTAAAGCTGGCTAATTACGCTTACGTTTTAAGAAGTAAAAACTCATAAAAATATATATAAATTGTTTTAACAATTTAAATTTGTAATTGGCATATTACATCTAATTTTTGGTTTAGCTTTCTTAAGTTTTCATTATTAAATTATGTTCTTTTAAATTTTCTGTAAATAAGGTATAACAAGAAAGGAAAGCTAGTTTCGGGCGGAGCCGATGTTGATATACCCTTGCAGAATATTCATATGATGCATTCTTAATACTCATAAAAAGTCCCAACTTCCTAACTTTGAAAACACCAAAGTTATGACATTTCCAATCGTTCAGTTATATGGCAGCTATAAGATAAAGTCGGCCGATCCTTATGAAATTTGGTAGGTCGGATTGATTGGCCAAAAATAAAACCATAGAAAATCCAAAACTTCCTAACTTAACAAACACCAAAGCTATGGCATTTCCGATCAAACAGTTATATGGCGGCTTTAGGATATAGTCGTCCGATCCTTATGAAATTCGGTAGGTCGGATCGATTACTTTAACTTTAAAAACACCAAAGTTATGGCTTTTTCGATCGTTCAGTTATAAGGCAGCTATATGATATAGTTGCCCGATCCGGCTCGTTCCGACTTATATAATACCTGCAATAAAAGACAACTTTTGGGAAAGTTTCAAGCAGATAGCTTTAAAACTCAGGGACTAGTTTGCGAAGAAACGGACGGACGGACAGACGGACGGACAAATCGACTCTCCTGGTGATGCTGATCAAGAATATATATACTGTAACGATTTTGGCTGCCGTGGAAGGGCGGATTTCGTCACGGAAAGCCGAGCGGAACTTTTTTTATAGCTGGGGGGGGGCCCCCCCCCCACCCCCCCCCTCCCCCCCTCAACCACAAAAAAAAAAACACGCGTAGTTCTTAATTATTTCGCAGCTTTATTGGGTCTTCTACTCACAGAGCGCACGAGGCGCCATGTGCTTTTCTCTAATCTCGTTTTTAGAAAGAAGGAAGAAGGAATCAAGGAATAAGGGAACAGAGAGAAAAATAAAGAGACCAGGCAGCCGGGCTGTCAAAGTCTCATTTTAGCGCTGCTTGAAGCGTTGCCACCTAGCCGACTATCGAAAGCCCAAGGTTTTCGGCGGCTTTCGTTACATTACCCCCCTCTCAGACTCGAGTCTCCTGGCCGAGTACGGCTGGACTTGGGCCTCGGTAAGGGGCCAATCGGTTGACATGGACGGTCCTGGTGGCACGCTTCCCTGGTAGTCGTATCTTGTATACGAGGTCGGAGTGACGGCGGGTGACGACGGCGGGTCCAATCCAATCAGACTGCAGTTTCGGGCATCGGCCCACTCTTCGTGTAGGGCAGTAGAGCCAAACCTCTTCTCCGAATGAGGGGATGGTCAACTGATCCGATCGAAGGTCGTAGCGTAACTTGTTAACGTTAGCGGCTCCCATAAATTTTTTTTGTCCTATTTTTTTTTGGGGGTGGAGGGAATTTTTCAATTTTTTCACAAAGGGGGGAAAAATCGGGAGGGGCAGCAGTTCGCTCGGTAGCCGGAGTTCCCGTCCCAGCATCAGTAACGACGGTGAAAACCCAGTTGCCTCATGCGTAGCCAAGCGATAGGCCCAGAGAGCTAGCGGCAACAGTTGGTCCCAGTCGCGTTGATCGGTCGCAACAAATTTGGCCAGGTAATCCAGGAGGGTCCGATTAAATCTCTCGACCAACCCGTCCGACTGAGGGTGTAGCGGTGTGGTGCGAGTCTTCTCCACGTCGAGGAAGCGTAGGCAAGCTTGGAATACCTCTGATTCGAAGTTGCGGCCTTGGTCCGAGTGAAGGATAAATGGGGCACCAAAACGGCAAAACACTTCTTGGATGAGTGCTCGAGCTACCGTCTCGGCGGTTTGGTTGGGAAGAGCTATGCACTCCGGCCATTTGGTGAAGTAGCACATCACCACAGCGATGTAGCGATTTCCGTGAGTGGTAGTTGGCAGAGGGCCGAGTATGTCGATCGCAAGTCGTTCAAATGGAGCACCTAGGACTGGCCCACTGTACCGTCTCGGCGGTTTGGTTGCGAAGAGCTATGCACTCCGGCCATTTGGTGAAGTAGCACATCACCACAGCGATGTAGCGATTTCCGTGAGTGGTAGTTGGCAGAGGGCCGAGTATGTCGATCGCAAGTCGTTCAAATGGAGCACCTAGGACTGGCCCACTGTACGGCGAGTAGGTCCTTTTCTGGCATTGCATTCGGTACAGCGTGCGCACCAATGGGCTACGTCAGCAGTCTGTCCGATCCAATAGTAGCGTTGTTGAGCTTGGCGACTGTCTTCTTAATTCCAAAGTGTCCGCCGGTGGTAGAGTTCTGAGCGCTGCGCAGAGCTTCTTCCTGAAGAGAGTGAGGCACTACCAAGGCTTCGTCCGCTGTTTTGGTTTTAATCATTAGAACAAGTGCCAATACGCTTTTGTCTCGGGGCTCTCACTCCATGTTGTGGATTTAGTTGGTCGTTCTCCTGTTTTTAACCTCTGCAGGATCAACGACAAAGTGGGATCTTTTTCCTGGCTGATAGCAATGTCGACTGGTTGGGCCTGTAAGAACAAAATCCCTTGACCATCGTTTTGTTCTGCCTTAGTGCATATGCGGCATTCACCACAGGGGCGGCGAGACAGGGGGTCGGCGTTACCGTGCAGCTTGCCACTGGGGTGCTGGATATCCAAGTCCTATTGCTGGAGGCGTTCAATCCAGCGAGCGAGTTGTCCTTCGGGTTCCCGAAAGTTGAACAGCCATCGGAGAGACGAGTGGTCCGTGCGCAGCAAGAATTTCCGGCCATATAAGTAGTGATGGAAATGTTTGGTAGATAGAACCACGGCTAGCAGCTCTCTCCTAGTTACGCAATAATTGCGTTCGGCAGCATTAAAGGATTTGCTGTAATACTCCAGTACATGCTCCTGTCCTTCTTGTTGTTGACTGAGTACAGCGCCCGCGCCATGGTTTGACGCATCTGTATCCAAAACGAATACACCATTAGAAGTGGGAAACGTTAGAATGGGCGGTGTAGTGAGCTTAATTTTAAGCGTTTCAAAGGCATCGTGAGCCGATGAGGTCCATGTGAAGGCACGCTTAGTTTCCGTTAGTTCATGTAGCGGGCGAGCGATGGTGGCGAAGTCCGGGATGAATTTGCGGTAGTAGGAACAGAGGCCCACGAAGGATCGTACCTCTTTCTTGTTACGGGGGGGTGACCAATCGATGACTTTTCGAATCTTTTCCGGACACGCCCGTAAGCCTTTGTGGCTAACTATGTGGCCCAGGTAACTAACCTCGGTTCGGAAGAAATGGCATTTGCGGGGACTCAGCTTTAGTCCTGCGCTTTGCAATTTATCCAAGACTTGTTGCAAGTGGTCCAGATGGTCTTCCGCTGTCCGATGGCATCACGTTAAATTCATCGAGGTAAATAGGATTTCGCGGATCAACGATTAAAAGCGGTCTTGGCTCTTGAAAGGCGTCGTCCATTTCCACCGCCAGTAACCGCTCTGAAGGTCCATTGTGGAGAACCAACAGGCGCCGTGCATCGTGGTTAAGATGTCATCCATCCTTGGTAGGGGATAAGAATCCTTGATGGTGATATCGTTTAGACGTCGATAATCCACACAGAACCGGGTAGAACCGTCCTTTTTCCTTACTAGAACGACCGGTGAGGCCCACGGGCTCGTGGATGGGCGAATTATGCCTCTTAGCTTCATGTCGGCAACCAGTTCTTCCACTTCAGCCTTCCTTGCCAGCGCAAGACGACGCACTGGTTGCTTGATAGGCCTAGATAGACCCGTATCGATCACATGGCGGGTTAGGTTGGTATGCCCGGAGTCGTCATCGCTTCGGGCAAACACTCGCTGGAAGCGGTTCATCAAGGCCGTCTACTTGGAGCGAAGAGGGGTGGCAACTCGGGGGTACTTCCCCATTGTGGGAAGTTGCTTCATCGTTGTTTACGCCGCTCTCCCCCCATTAAAACCCCCCCCCCCCCCCCCCCAAAAACCCCCCCCCCCCCCCCCGCCCCTCCCCCCCCCCCCCCCCCCCCCCCCCCCCCCCCCCCCCCCCCCCCCCCCCCCCCCCCCCCCCCCCCCCCCCCCCCCCCCCCCCTCCCCCCCCCCCCCCCCCCCCCCCCTTAATATAAACCCCCCCAAAAATATTATACATTCCCTTTTTTTTTTTTTTCATAATTTTATATCTTCCCCAACCCCCTCCCCCCCCCCCCCCCAACCACAAAAAAACATCCCCCCCCCTCCCCCCCCCCCCCCCCCCCCTCCCCCCCTTTTCCTCCTTCCTTTCCCCCCCCCCCCCCCCCCCCCCCCCCCCCCCCCCCCCCACAACCCCACCACCCACCCCCCAAAACCCCAACAACCCCCAAATCTTTAATCGTTTCCGTCTTGATCCTGAGGGGTTTCCAGAACCTCTACTGCTTCCACTTGTCCCACAATTGTTTGCGCTGAGATTCACTAGATGCAGTGTGCTGGTGTTGGTCGTGGTGTCCAGCAGGGTGCTTCCTAGTAGAATTTTGGAGGGGAAATTGGGAGTGAGCTCCACGTTCCAACAGAGCTGCGGGCAGCTGCTCCTCTTACATGCATCGAACCGTTAAGTGGGTGTCGCTATATGGCAGGATGTTACTTGGCGCGGTCGAATAAAGTAGATTTCGCTGTTCCGTAGTCGGGGCATATAGCGGCAAGGATCCCCACGGGAAGAAGATCTTTCAAGTCTACGGTTGCCTTATATTGCAGCAGAAAGTCCATGCCTAACAGACTTGGGGTGCTGCCTTCCACTAGCAGGAATTCGTGTTCAACTGGCCTTCCGGCAACAACAAGTTTGGCGGCGACTCGTGCGGTTGCCACGAATTTCTCGGCTGATGGTCCCTGCAGAGTCACGCGGCAAGGTGCACTGGGTAGTCGCTTTGGCGTATCCCGCTCGTTTAGGAGGGAGACGGCGGCACCAGTGTCGACGATCAGCCGTATAGGATGTTTCTGTAAGAAGATCAAACAATGTAAATGTTGGCCTCCAACGGCACTACAGGTATACGTAGCTTCGGCGGGCATAGACTGGCTCCCGCGATGGTCATATTGTATAGGGTTTGTAGTTGTCCGTTTCGCCGCGATTGACGGCATTAGTGGCATCTTTCCGGATGGGTGTTCAGCGAACAATCGGCCCAAAACGGTGTCCACGGGGGTGAGTTCAGTTCTTCTCCTTCAGCAAGCGGCGGCGGTAGTTTCCCGTAGGACTCGGCGGCGGCGGCATATCGGATGGAACCGCTTTCTAGTGGGGGGGGGTGGCGATCTCGCCGGACGGCGGCTCAGGGGTAAGATGTAAACTCGTTGGTCTACGTAGGGTGCGGGCGCTCCGGAGTGCGGCAAACTCTATTTCCTGAGATTGTGCGGCACTTTCTTTGGGCGGCGGCAGTAAGGGAAAAGGGGCCACGATGGCTTCGACTCCACTTGGAGAAGCATTTAGTCGGGCGCCGGGTTGCTCGATTGGCGGCGGCTGTAAGAGCACGGGGGCCACGAAGGTTTCAACTCCATTTGGAGGAGCATTTAGTCGGGCGCCGTGTTGCTTGGTTGGCGGCGGCTTCTGCAATAATTTTGCTGCCGTGGAAGGGCGGATCTCGTCTCGGAAAGCCGAGGGAACTTTTTTAGGATCGGTGTGGGTCACGATCCCGTCAATGCGCACTCCTCGCCTAAGTCACCAAAAACACACGCGTGGTTCTTAATTATTTCCGAGCTTATTGTCGGGCCCTTTCAGAGGCGGCATCGAGGGCATGGTGCTTTCTTTACCGATTCTTTTTAGAAGAAGGAAGAAGGAATCATTGGGGGGACCAGAGAGAAGGATAAAGAGACCGGGAGCCGGGCTGTCAAGGCTCATTTTGGCGCTGCCTCCCTGGAGCCATAGCCGACTATCGAAAGCCCGAGGTTTTTGAGGCTTTCGTTATGGCTTCCTGACCTCGGGTCTCCTGGCCGAGAGGCGGGGACTTCGGGCCTCGGGAAGGGCCAATCGGTGACATGGACGGTCCTGGTGGCACTCCCTGGTAGTGGTATCTCGTATACCAGGTCGGAGTGACGGCGGTGACGAGGCGGGTCCAATCCAATCAGACTGCAGTTTCGGGCATCGGCCCACTCTTCGTGTAGGGCAGTAGAGCCAAACCTCTTCTCCAACGGCGAATTCAACTGGATGCGATCGAAGGTCGTAGCGTAACTTGTTAACGTTAGCGGCTGCCATCAAGTTTCGTCGTCCAATCTGTTGTGTGAGTCGGAGGCGATTCTGCAATTGTTCCACGTAGGCGGGATAACTCTCCGGATGAGGGGATGGTCGACCATACAGCAGTTCGCTCGGTAGCCGGAGTTCCCGTCCCAGCAGCAGTAACGACGGTGAAAACCCAGTTGCCTTATGTGGAGCCGATCGATAGGCCCAGAGAGCTAGCGGCAACAGTTGGTCCCAGTCGCGTTGATCGGTCGCAACAAATTTGGCCAGGTAATCCAGGAGGGTCCGATTAAATCTCTCGACCATCCCGTCCGACTGAGGGTGTAGCGGTGTGGTGCGAGTCTTCTCCACGTCGAGGAGGCGTAGGCAAGCTTGGAATACTTCTGATTCGAAGTTGCGGCCTTGGTCCGAGTGAAGGATAAATGGGGCACCAAAACGGCAAAACACTTCTTGGATGAGTGCTCGAGCTACAGTTTCGGCGGTTTGGTTGGGAAGGGCTTTGCACTATGCATTCGGTACAGCGTGCGCACCAAAGGGCTACGTCTGCAGTCTGTCCGATCCAAAAGTAACGTTGCTTGAGCTTGGCGACTGTCTTCTTAATTCCGAAGTGTCCGCCGGTGGTAGAGTTGTGAGTGCTGCGCAGAGCTTCTTCCTGAAGTGAGCGAGGCACTACCAAGGCTTCGTCCGCTGTTTTGGTTTTAATCATCAGAAGACCCCTTTCCACGAAAAGGTGTTCGAACAAGTGCCAATACGCTTTTGTCTCGGGGCTCTCACTCCATGTTGTGGATTTAGTTGGTCGTTCTCCTGTTTTTAACCACTGCAGGATCAACGACAAAGTGGGATCTTTTTCCTGGCTGATAGCAATGTCGACTGGTTGGGCCTGTAAGAACAAAATCCCTTGACCATCGTTTTGTTCTGCCTTAGTGCATATGCGGCTGAATGCCACAGGGGCGGCGAGACAGGGCGTCGGCGTTACCGTGCAGCTTGCCACTGTGGTGCTGGATATCCATGTCGTATTGCTGGAGGCGTTCAATCCAGCGAGCGAGTTGTCCTTCGGGTTCCCGAAAGTTGAACAGCCATCAGAGAGACGAGTGGTCCGTGCGCAGCAAGAATTTCCGGCCATATAAATAGTGATGGAAATGTTTGGTAGATAGAACCACGGCTAGCAGCTCTCTCCTAGTTACGCAATAATTGCGTTCGGCAGCATTAAAGGATTTGCTGTAATACTCCAGTACATGCTCCTGTCCTTCTTGTTGTTGACTGAGTACAGCGCCCGCGCCATGGTTTGACGCATCTGTATCCAAAACGAATACACCATTAGAAGTGGGAAACGTTAGAATGGGCGGTGTAGTGAGCTTAATTTTAAGCGTTTCAAAGGTTCGGAAGAAATGGCATTTGCGGGGACTCAGCTTTAGTCCTGCGCTTTGCAATTTATCCAAGACTTGTTGCAAGTGGTCCAGATGGTCTTCCGCTGTCCGAGAGTACACAATGATGTCGTCGAGGTAAACCAGTGTGTATTTCCAGGCAGGTCCGGAGAATAGGCCGTCCATTAAACGCTCGAAGGTCGCTGGCGCGTTGGTCAGGCCAAACGGCATCACGTTAAATTCAAAAAGACCGGCATCACACGTAAAAGCGGTCTTGGCTCTTGAGGTGTCGTCCATTTCCACCTGCCAGTAACCGCTCTGAAGGTCCATTGTGGAGAACCAATAGGCGCCGTGCATCGTGGTTAAGATGTCATCCATCCTTGGTAGGGGATAAGAATCCTTGATGGTGATATCGTTTAGACGTCGATAATCCACACAGAACCGGGTAGAACCGTCCTTTTTCCTTACTAGAACGACCGGTGAGGCCCACGGGCTCGTGGATGGGCGAATTATGCCTCTTAGCTTCATGTCGGCAACCAGTTCTTCCACTTCAGCCTTCCTTGCCAGCGCAAGACGACGCACTGGTTGCTTGATAGGCCTAGATAGACCCGTATCGATCACATGGCGGGTTAGGTTGGTATGCCCGGAGTCGTCATCGCTTCGGGCAAACACTCGCTGGAAGCGGTTCATCAAGGCCGTCCACTTGGAGCGAAGAGGGGGTGGCAACTCGGGGGGTACCTCCTCATTGTGGGAAGTTGCTTCATCGTTTCCGTCTTGATCCTGAGGGGTTTCCAGAACCTCTACTGCTTCCACTTGTCCCACAATTGTTTGCGCTGGGAGAACATACGTGTGCGCGCTGAGATTTACTAGATGCAGTGTGCTGGTGTTGGTCGTGGTGTCCAGCAGGGTGCTGCCTAGTAGAATTTTGGGGGCAATTGGGAGTGAGCTCCACGTTCCAACAGAGCTGCGGGCAGCTGCTCCTCCGACATGCATCGAACCGTTAAGTGGGTGTCGCTATATGGCAGGATGTTACTTGGCGCGGTCGAATAAAGTAGATTTCGCTGTTCCGTAGTCGGGGCATATAGCGGCAAGGATCCCCACGGGAACCGTAACTGAAGATCTTTCAAGTCTACGGTTGCCTTATATTGCAGCAGAAAGTCCATGCCTAACAGACTTGGGGTGCTGCCTTCCACTAGCAGGAATTCGTGTTCAACTGGCCTTCCGGCAACAACAAGTTTGGCGGCGACTCGTGCGGTTGCCACGAATTTCTCGGCTGATGGTCCCTGCAGAGTCACGCGGCAAGGTGCACTGGGTAGTCGCTTTGGCGTATCCCGCTCGTTAAGGAGGGAGACGGCGGCACCAGTGTCGACGATCAGCCGTATAGGATGTTTCTGTAAGAAGATCAAACAATGTAAATGTTGGCCTCCAACGGCACTACAGGTATACGTAGCTTCGGCGGGCATAGACTGGCTCCCGCGATGGTCATATTGTATAGGGTTTTTAGTTGTCCGTTTCGCCGCGATTGACGGCATTAGTGGCATCTTTCCGGATGGGTGTTCAGCGAACAATCGGCCCAAAACGGTGTCCACGGGGGGTGAGTTCAGTTCTTCTCCTTCAGCAAGCGGCGGCGGTAGTTTCCCATAGGACTCGGCGGCGGCGGCATATCGGATGGAACCGCTTTCTAGTGGAGCGGGCGGCGGTACGTTGGCGATCTCGCCGGACGGCGGCTCCGGGGTAAGATGTAAACTCGTTGGTCTACGTAGGGTGCGGGCGCTCCGGAGTGCGGCAAACTCTATTTCCTGAGATTGTGCGGCACTTTCTTTGGGCGGCGGCAGTAAGGGAAAAGGGGCCACGATGGCTTCGACTCCACTTGGAGAAGCATTTAGTCGGGCGCCGGGTTGCTCGATTGGCGGCGGCTGTAAGAGCACGGGGGCCACGAAGGTTTCAACTCCATTTGGAGGAGCATTTAGTCGGGCGCCGTGTTGCTTGGTTGGCGGCGGCTTCTGCAACGGCTGCGAACGGACGGCCTTCGTTTCGTCGTAAGGTGGGCCCGTTCTGGCAGCTACTTGGTGGGGAGGTCTCGACTGTTGGGAACCCGTCGGTCGGCGTGCTGTGTGGGTATTCCGGTTCGCTGTAAGCTCGATGTCCGTGAACTGCGCGGCACTCTCTTCGGGCGACGGCTCTGGGGGCAAGGGGGCCACGATGGCTTCCACTCCATTTGGAGGAGCATTTAGTCGGGCGCCGGGTTGCTCGGTAGGCGGTGGCATCGAGTGGAGGTGCGGCGGGGCGTTACAGGTGTTGGAACCGGATTCAGTAACCCGGGCAGGCGCGGTGAGCGATTGAGGGTGAGCCGGAGACGTACGGTGGTTGCGGAACCGCCGTTGGGGAATGGGGGGGGTGAGCGGCTGCTCACTGGGGCTTACGGTGTTGACTGTCAACCTCCGCCCCGAGAGGCTGACCGTAGCTAGTTTCCCGATAGCGGCACGGAGTTAGTGGAAAACCCCGGTCCTCTCGGGTTATGGCTTCCTGATCCTCGGGCTCTTCTTCCTGGAGAGACTAGGGGACCTTCTATGGTTTCGGCAGCAAAGTTCATTACTGCGGCGGCTGTACGTCGTCGGCACTGGGCTTCAATGCGGCACGCCATATCGAGGGCATCCGTTAGAGAGCGCGGGTGGCTGCTAATGAAAGGGACCTGGTATCCCGTCTCGCGTATCCCCCAAATACAGCTCTGCCCAGGCGTTCCAGCTCTAGTGCAAAGTCCTCGAAAGACTCTCGTGGTCCCTGCATAAGATTGTGGAAAGTGTGATGCCAGTGTGCTTACTGATTGTAAAGTATTCGCGCATGGCGGATGTCAGGGAGTTGTATGAGCTGAGAGTGGCTTCTGGTAGGGTAGCGTGAAAACGCTGAGCACGCCCACGCAGACTCGTATACAACTTTCTGCACTTCTTCCTCTCTGACCAGTGGTATTCTTCGGCCATGTCGTCCAGTAGGCGTTGAAATTCGGGCCAGGGACGTGTTCCATCGAAGTTAGGAGGCGGCTCTGTATCCGACACCTCCAGAATTCCCCATTGTGAGGTTATGTCTCCGACTGGACGATGGGCAGCCATCTACGCGGTCCCTGGAATGCCGTCCATTCTCCGTGGAAACACTTGCTGCGGCTGTCCTGAACCGGCATTGGTCATTTCAGCTAAGCACGGGGTGCTGGCGGAGTGTCGCTCACCCCCTGCTTTGTTCACGCCTTCGCTGTTGCCCAGCATGGTCCTCTCGAAAGTCGCCCACATTTGTTCGAACTTCTGCTCGAACTTGAGGTTGAGCGACTGATCCAACGCCTCCACTGTTTGTTCGATCAGGCGGAACGAGCGGTTGATGGCGCGGCCCACTGCATCCAGCGCGGCAGCTCCATCTTTCGGATCTTCTAAACTAAACCCTGCTGGCGATGCTTGACGGCGGTGGCGGGCGGAATTCTTAGGCATTTTGACGCAGGTCAGGGTTCTCGCAAACCCTAGTGACCCCACACCTGGCACCAATGTAACGAGGCGCCATGTGCTTTTCTCTAATCTCGTTTTTAGAAAAAAGAAAGAAGGAATCAAGGAATTAGGGAACAGAGAGAAAAATAAAGGGTATAAAAATTATAGGGAAAAATATAACTCACACAGCTGATTCCTCGGCGGATGATCGATCTCCCAACGCAGGTAGGCTAGAAAAAAAATAAAGGCGTTTTTTCCGCTCTAACAATATAAATATTCTGCAAGGGCTCCGCCCGAAGTTAGCTTTCCTTTCTTGTTTTTTCTTCAATTTTGCATTAATTTTGACTCATTGGTAATGATAACTCTTCACATTCTTCCTTAATTTCTCTCACTGTAGTCATTAATTCATTTTTTAGCTACAAAAGTTTCTGCACACTATTTTTGGATATTACGGCGGTTAATTGGAGGCTAACATTAATGTAAATCCGGCAAAAGAAATTGATCAAATTTGGTCGGTATAATTAATTTCTCATCTTGCAAAATTGATGTAATAATTTGGCCTAGCGGCTTTTTTAATTTGTCATCCCTTGAAATTTAAGTAATAATTGGGCCTGGTGGCTTTTTGAAATTGTCATGCTGGGAAATTTAGGTAATAATGTTTTTTTAATTTCTCATCCTGCGAAATTTTGGTATTAATTGGGACTGGTGGCTTTTTTATTTTGTCATGCTGGAACATTTAGGCAATAATTGGGCCTCGTGGCTTTTTAATTTCTCATCCTGCGAAATTTAGGTAATTATTGGGCCTAGTAGCAACGCGGAATCCTCTGAACGAAAGGGGTGCTCCGCAGAGAAACACTAATCGCTGATCAAAGGGTGCTCCGCAGGGCAACGTAAATTGCTGATCGCGAGGTGCTCCGCAAGGCAACGCAAATTGCTGTTCGCGGGGTGCTCCGCAGGGCATTTTCCAAACGCCAATCGCAGGGTGCTCCGCAGGGCACCTGAGGCTTGTTGACCAATGTGGGTGCTCCCCAGGGCCGGCTGCCGGGGTCTTCCAAGCTGGACAAACCTAGCAAAAAGATCATCATCCGCTTGAGAATGAGCCTATGATCACAAAAAATAAATGTGCCACCAACCTTGCAATTTCCCCAGCGCTGCTTGTTTGCCGCCGCGGACGTGAGGGAAATTGTAGAATTTCAGCCTAAAAATCACGAAATTAACTCAAACCCAATTGGGCAAAACTGAAAAACTCACTTCTTTTATTCTTTTACTTTAACTGTTAAAACTCTCGTAGTCGAGGAAACGATCTTCCATTTTTTTTTGAACAAACTTTACCGCCTTGGTACGATGCAAATCTATAACATCTGACTGCCACGCCGGTTGGATAAAGAAAGAAAGTTCTAGAAGTACATGCGGTCGGATTCGCCTTTACCGGAGATTTTAGACAGCTGAGAAGTCCGCCATATTGGCTGGAGAGAAGCTACCCTGCCTCAGCTGATCATATACCGAGCTGGCATCACCAGTTAAGCTCTTCTATCTTTCATCGATATCTAATCTAGGTTCGATTAACATCGGTTAAATTAAAACAAACAAAAAGGAAAAAATTTAAAACTGAATTCTGTGGACTTCAGTCGCTGCTACAAAGCACCCCGCTATAATCAGACTAGGGTATGTATGAGATGGTCCCCTAGGATGATACCTACTGAAGTCATTCTCGAATGTCCTTTGCATGGTCTTCGAGTTCGTAATAACAATTTCCAATTTCCTTTCGAACTCTAGATTTCACAAAAGTAGGACCGAATTTGGCATAATGGCCAGTTTGAAAACAACTCTGTTTAAAACTTCGTCGATAAATTCCTGTCCCTCTGTGAAGCTTACTACACGAGAACGAAGATTATTACGTGCTTTCTTTGCTCGCACGCTTGCTTGCGAACTATCTCAAATGAATCGGGGCTGTCGAACTTTAGGGAGTGATCATCTAAGAGGTTTAACTATCTAAGCAAAGAGTATGTTGACCCAGATGTGATCATGTGTTGACCAAAAGCCATCTAGTAAGGACTTGTACCAAGGCTAGAGTGTACAGAAGATCTTAAAGCGCAACATATCCTGTCCAAAAACTCTTCCCAGTCCTTCTGATCAGGACGCAAATACGCTCTAATTGCTGATATCAATGAGCGATTAACTCACTCGGAATCTTAAGACTGATGCGAATGTACTGCGGTAAGGATGTGTTTGATACAATATTGCTGCATTAACTTCTGAAATACTTTCGAACGAAACTGAGACCCATTATTCGACAACACTATTTCCGGAACGCCTCAGGTCATAAACAAATCGCATTGCAATCATTTAATGACAATGCTTAAAACTATCTGGTTTTAAGAATACGTACTTGGAGAAGTGATCAAGAACAATAAA